GGGTGGCTGCAGCAGCCGGAGGGGTAGAGGTGCAAGGAGAAAGGACAGAGGGCACAAGGATGCAGAACCCGGGTGTGGAGAGGGGCCCAGCCCTGCTGGCACAGGGAGAGGTGCTGCTCCCTGCACGCTCGGATGGCCCACACTCACCCCTGAGCAGGCTCTTCAGAGCGGGGTGGGGTGGGGTCTGGGCCGGGGAAGGGAGGAGGAGGAGCCCCTTCCATGAAGCTGTGGCCCAGGAAGTGACCAAAGGGACAGAGGCACCAGGAGAGCAGTGAGGCCGCTGGAGGCCTCGGTCCAGCTGGGCCCCTCCTGCATATGCTGCCCCAAGCAGGCCCAGACAGGGCACTCACTTGGGCTTCTCTAGAGGGTCGGGCTCGCCTCGTGCCAGGCCCACTGGGTTCTTCTCCGCCTCCTCGGCTGTCAGGAGGTGCAACTCTGCCTCCACTTTGCCCTGCAGAGAGGGAGCAGCAAGGTCCCAGTGCCCATGCCAGGTGTTACTTCAGCCTGCCCCAGCCCCCACCCCCCCACCCCCCCACCCCACCCCCGGAGGAGGCAGTGGCCCACCGTGAGCTCAAACTCGTCATTCTCATTCCGGGCCAGGAGGGGCCACCAGCCCTTGACACGCTTCTGCTTGAAGATGGAAACCAGGGGCACGTCCACCTCCCCGGTAGCCATCTCCAGGGAACACTGCTTGGCAGTCTTGGCGCCCCGCGGGAAGCGGTTCAGGTCCAGCTCGATGGCCCCTGTGCGAGCTCAGGGTCAGCTCTGGGCTGACAGTGGCAGGCAGGGCTCCTTGGCTCCAGCTCACCCTGGTGCCCTGGCTGACCCTTCAGGCTGGAAGTGGGGTGGGGGTGGGGGGTAACCTCCCCGGTGGCTGCCAACCCCTCTCCCTTGCCACTGTGCCACGACGCTGCATAACCCTGTCTGTCGCACAAGCTCTGGCCAGATGCAAATGTGAGTTCGAAGGGAAAGCCTGATTTGACCTCAGGAGAAGCTGAGGTTCAGGGCCGCCTGACTCACTCAGGCCGCAGCAGCACCCCCTCCTTGGAGACCCCAAGGGCCCTGCAGAATCTGCTCTGGGCCTGGCTAGGTGCGTCCTTGAGGTGGGGACCCACTGTGACCCTTCTGGGGTTCCAGGGTAGGCTCACCTGGCCCCTCCTTCTCCCTCGCCCCTCCTTGCACCCCCACCCAGCACGGCCCACGCTGCTTGGCTCTGCACCCAGGAAGTCGTCCGCGGAGAAGTGGTCCGCATCCCAGATCTGCAGGGTAAGCCGCGCGGGGATCTTGTACTCCGTCTCGTCCCAGGAGAACACGGACTCCTTCTTGGAGATGACGATCTTCTCCTCCGCCGCCAGGTAGTCAAAGGGGAACAGGTAGCGCCAGTTGAAGTTCCCCTCGCCAGTGAGGGAGTGGTAGTGGACATCCGTGTCCTGCTTGTCCTCCTGTTGGCCCTTCAGCCACCTGTGAGTACCACGTGCTTCAGACCTAGGGTGACACCCGCAGGACCCCTGCCCACTCCCACCCCACCCCACCCCCACCCCACAGTTCTTTTTCCCTTCCCTGCTCTTCAGACGCTCAGGAGGTGGGCTCACCCTGCTGAGCCCCACCCCTGAGCCTGCCCAGGAGGTGGACCTGCCCCACTTAGTCCCGCCCAGGAGGCGGACCTGCCCCCACTTAGCCCCGCCCAGGAAGTGGGCTCTCCCTGCTTAGGCCAGCCCGACCCACCCCCGCACAAAGATGTCACTGGACTTCTCTCCGGTGAAGAAGTCGTCGTCTTCCAGGACCACCTCATCCGTGTTCCACACAATGACCCGTAGCTCGTACCTGGGCAGGGGAAAAGGGGTCTGGAGAGGGGATGACTGAGGGGTGAGTCTGGGGGTGCTGGGCTGTTTGGGGCGGAGAGAGCAGGGGGTCCAAGGGAAGCCTCGGTTCAGTGGGGCCCTGAGGTGAGCGAGGAGGGCAGTTCGCGTGGTCGTCTGGGCCGGCCACCGTGACGCCTCCAGCACACATGGGCAAGGAGGCTGACTCAGTGGGTTGGCAGTGGCTTCTGGGCAGCCGCAGGGTCAGGGAGTGAGAGAGGGCTGGCTGAAATGAGGTTCAGGAGCAAGTTTCCTCCTGGCTCCTGAAGCTGTGGAGGCCCGTGGAATCTAGCTTCTGTCCTTGTCCCCAAAGGGATATTCCCCTCCAGGTTCAATGGTAACGTAGATGAGCTAGTGACATCTCAACAGCAAGGAGCAAGGTGGGCCCATCCACTGAGAAAAGGACCAGCTCTGCTCTCCATCGGGATTGAAGTCCTAAACGCCAGCCGGGAGCGACCCAAGGGGCGGGGTGACCCCTAGTGGCAGGCTCTGGAACAGCCCACGTGGCCTCAGCATAGAAGAGCCCCTCTAGGTGCATGCTACCCGAATCTGGCCGGTTAATTTGCAGGGCACAGCGAAAAAGGAAAATCTCTCTGGGCAAGATGAAAGGGTCCCCCAGGAAGGGAATGGTGTCCCAGGAGCTCACTTCTTGGGTTTCCGGGGGGAGATGTCCAGAGGTGTCCCGGGGGCGGGCATATCCATGGGGAACATGTCCACCCACAGCTCCAGGCGGCCCTGAGGGAGAGGTGGTGGAGGGGCAGGGCTGCCCACTGGCTCCTTGCCTGCACCCCAGAAAGGTCAGCTCTCCACCCCCTCCCACCTTTGGTCCTGATACGGACCCATCTCAACAGTTTCCATCCTCAGATGCCAGAGTTAGGTGATGTCACCCAGAGCCAATTACAGCTTCTGAGGGAGACAACCCAGACAGCCTGAACTGATGTCATTCCCACTCAAAGCAAAAGACACATGCCCCACGGGCCGCCTGCCAGGCTTGAGGGGGCTCACTGCAGGGCATACCAAAGAGCCCCAGGCCCGGCCAGGCCAGTGTCACCTGTTCAATGCCTGGCTTGTCAGGGTTGAGTAGCGGCCGAGTCTCCACGTGCTCGGGCACCAGGCGACAGCCCACCCGGGGGATGTCCTCCCAGTGTCTCAGGGCACACAGCGACACGTGCTCCTCCGTGGGCTTCCTCTGACCTGCGGGCCATGGGCTCAGTACGTGTCGGGGGCTCCACAGAGCCCACCACTCAGGGAGCTGGCGGGGGCGCGGGGAATGTCTGTGCGTGGGGAACCCGACCAGGGAATCCCACTGGGGTGTAAGAGGGGCCCTGTGGGGAGACCCACTTGCTGTCCCAGCACGAGGCCCCCACCATGGGGACATCGGATTTTCTGGAAACTTCCAGATGCAGGGGGAGGGACAGGGCCACACAGACCTGGGCCCACAGCCTCGCTCTGCCCCTAAGGAGCCAGAGGGAGCCAGGAGGCTGCAGGCAATTGGAGTGGGCAGATTAAAGTGGGGGCCCTGAGGAATTAATGTAAAACAGAGGGTCATTAACAGTCCTGTTCAGGCTAAGGAGCCTCCAGCCAGGCCTCAACATCCCCCCCCACCCCTACCCCAAGGGAATGTGGGCCCAGGACCTACCACATCCACCTCCCCCCTTGGCCTGCAAACTCCTGAGACCCGTTACCGTTCTCGTCCTCAATCTCCGAGGGCCCCGTGAAGACACGGTTGGCCACTTTAACTCTCCCGGCGGGCCCAAAGTGCGGGCCGTCCACTTTGCCCTCCTTGCAGAGCCGGGTCAGGATCTGGCTGGGCGTCATGGGATCCCGCCAGATATTGTAGCCATGTCTGTAGGAGAGGAGCCCAGGGTGGCCCCTCGCTCAGGCTGATGCCCCCATCAGCAGCCGGGTCCCACCCTGGGCCCCAGGCTCCGTAGTCAAGGCTGCTGAGGTGGGCCCTGGCCCCTGTCTCTACCTCACCCGCCCCGGTGAGCATCCCACCTCCACCCAACCCTCGCCTCCACTGCACCCACCCTCGGTCCCTCAGAGACTCCTCGAGGAGACTGGCCACCAGAGGCGTGCAGGTGCTTGGCCTGGCGTGCACAGGCAGGCAGAGGGTGCCCGGAGTGCAGGGCTCTTCCTAGGGCTTGGTGCTCCCACTCAGACTCCCCGCTGCTGGCCTCACCTGCTCCTTGCTCCCAGCCCAGTTTCCTCCCTTGGGAGACCGGATCTCTCCGTGCCCTGCCACCCCCCACCCCCAAGGGTGTGCCCAAGCCTGGCCTAGCCCGGGGCAGAACCAGCTCCTGCCCAACTGCCCCTTCAGGAGGCCCAGATGCTGGCTCCCAGGGCCCGGCCCTGCCCGCCTGCCCGGCCCACGCACATGGCGTAGCTCTGGGTGATGCCGCAGGTGGCACGGTGCTTGCTGTAGAAGCGGTTCTCCAGGTCGATCTTGGTCTCCCCAATGAGGTCGTCCGTGCCCACTAGATCCCAGTCGTAGACGGCCACCGTCAGCATGGACTCCATCGGGAAGGAGGCCTCGATGTCAAAGGACCTGCGGGGACCAGGAAGGCCGGGCTGGGAGGGGTGTGGGCTGGGGAAGGCAGGGTGGTCCTGGGAGCGTGGAGGAGGCCTTACTTCCCAAAGACGGGGTTGAGCTGCTTGGAGATGTAGTTCTCCTTGTCCCGGATGTCCGTCTTGCCAAGCCGGATGGCGATATAGGGGTCAGCTTTACCATTGATGTCTGCGGGGTGCAGGTCCGTGGCCTGGGGGCCGGGGGGAGGGGATTGGAAGGGGTGCTGTCTGGGCTGGCTTCTCAGAAGCTCACCCCTCCTCACCGTCAGGCGTCCCCACCTGGCTCCCTGGCAGTCCAAGAGGGAGCAGGGCTGGGGGCAGGGGCACCGGATCGGACGACAGTCAGTCCGTCCCTCTTAAAGATGTGGACTGGACCCCCCCCCTCCCCCCGACAGCCTCCCCTTCTGGGGTATCCTGTCTGAAGGACCAGGGGCACGGGCAGCCTCACCCGGACCACGTAGACGCGGACCAGCACGTTGATGGGGTCATTGCTGGGGATACCCTGGAACATGCCGTAGATGGGGTCGTAGCCCGCTTCCCGGGACACGTCGTCTGGGAGCGGCACTTTGTACATGCAGAGGGACCCCTGGGGAAGGAGCGTGGGTCAGGTGCAGGTGGGGCTGGGGCTGGGGGGCGGTCCAGGGCTCTGGAAGGCATGGCCAGGGCAGGGCCGGCTTTTTCGCCATCAGCGTGGAAGTGGTCTTCACGCGTTAGTAGCCCGCACAGCTGGCGGCCCCTCGCCCCACTCCCCGCTTTTTTTGTGTGTGTGGGGGGCGGTTTCCCGCTCCCCGACCTTGAAGCGGCCCACGGTGCGCTCCTCCTCGGTGGAGCCGTCCTCATCGTCGCCTGTCTTGCCCCGCAGCAGGTTGAAGGTGTGCAGCCAGTCCTCAAAGTTGTCGAACTCGGACTCCAGCTCCTTGGGGTACACCTGCACCAGGTGCGTGGTCAGCGGGCCTTGGCCTGCCCCGGGACCCACATAGCTGCCTCGTGCCGGATCCCTGGTGTCGGTGGGGGGTGGGGGGTGGGGGCAATGCTGCTCACAGACCCTCCCTCACCTTGAGCTCATCGATCTTGGGCTTCTTCTTCTCAGGGGGCTCAGCCACCTGGCTGGGGCCTTGGCTCTGACTCTTCTTCTTCTTCTCCTCCTTTGAGGCCTTTGCCTTCTCCTTGCTCTTCATTGGCCCCTTCAGGCCTGGCAGGAGGCAGAAAAGGAGACCCCAGTTGGTGAAGTGAGAAGAAATGACCATTGCAGAGGGACCCGGGTTCAAGGCCTGAACTTCTGGGGCCTTAGCAACCTCCTCA